GCACCAACACCTGCACGGACAACACAAATTGCAACCCCAGCACGGACAGCAACATCCATACGGACTCCAACCCCTACTCCTACAGTAACAGGTGAGTGCATTCGTGCATTTAATCAAACTTGCATAACTCAGCATTGCTTTGATCATTTGCATACCACTATGCTATAAGTTAAACCAACATCACAATTAGTACGTCATCACCGGTACTATGGTATGCAAGTCTTCTAGATCATTCCTTGCTATATTATTTTTCTGCAGTCTGGTAATATCAAAGATTGACTACTAGGGTTTTCAAGTACATTCAGTAATCTTGAATAGAGAACATTTTGTATCGATAAGGTTAAATCTAGCATGTTGACATAATTAGATTTCTGTCCTGTTTCCCCCCCAAGTCCTACCTGTAGGCACAGTCAAAGCTGCTAGTTCAACCGAAGCTAATACTAGCAAGCAGATGGAAAGCAGTCAAAGAATGCCGCCTTTAGCACCCATCAGAGCTTCTACTAAATTACCTTCTAGCCTTCAGCCAGTTGTTAAAATTATTCCCATGACTACCTTAAGTATTGCTTTGGCCACAGGCACAGTAACAGTGAAAGGTAGCTGCCACTCAGTGACTGTCGTTAACCCACAATCCTGTGTGATTTGTAGTATAGACAGGGCTCGCAAACATTTTGCAGAATGTTAAGTCGAGATTTTGCATATGATTCTGGAAATGTTGGCATTTCTCACTTCTATGTTGTGTATTAGAATAGTTTTAGTGTAGTAGCAGTTTCAGTCGCTATATTTAAGATATTGCTTCTCCCTTTGTTTGTTTGCTTGCTATCAATGACTCCTAATCTGAAGCTGCAAGCGGATGAGGATGAACTTTATTTGTTGCTCCTGCACACTTCCTATTACTTAGTATGTTAGAATTGTTGTTCTATGAGCAAAACAATGTAGCATGAATTACATTTGAAAAAATGAATACTTTGATGATGTCTGTTATGCCAATACATGTACAAATCACACAGAATTTGGGGGTAATTCTCAGTACTGTTTTACATAAATATCATTTACTTTGATGTTTGTTTCGTTTCTGGTCTGTGGCCTAAGACTATGCCTCAGATCCGACCTAACTCTATACACATACAATTAACTCTCTTCTCTTCCTTCCAGCCTTTAAAATATTAGTAAAATTATTTTCTTAAATGATTTTTATTTATTTTATTTTATTTTAAAAGTAGATATGTTTTGCGCAGTTGTAATAAAAATTTAACCAACAAATCTATTTCCAAGCTTTTTCACTCATTTGCCTATTTTGTTAAGCATGCACAATTAACTTGTTGCAGCCAGCATGGATTTCTTTTACAAAAAAAAAAAACTACTAAACCTGGTTACCACTGTGTGAAAATGTGCCAAAATTTATTTTGTCAGCTGCAGTTGCATCACCTGTATTGGCAACCAAATCCATAGAGTGTGAGATGCCGATGATGACGACGAGAGCCACAGTCACAAGCATTAAGAAAGAGGTTGATGATGAAATACAATCTGTCAAATCACCTTTGTATCTGGTGAGTGTTCATTTTTCTACCGACTTTTAGTGAGCAGTTTGACTGATCCAGTTTGTTAGCAACTGCACTTGAGACACCATATTTGCATGAAAACTATTTACATGCAAGTCCTTGTCCTTGTTTTTCACAAACTTGTAAACAATATATTTCTGTTAAGTTAATTTATTCCTCTTACACCAAGATTTTATTGTTGAATTGTGCATCTCAGATTATTGGTAGAAGATTTTTTGTTATTTTTATTCCTCTTACACCGCCATGTGAAATTATGAAAGTTTTCATCACGGCAGTCGTCAAAGAGGAGAGAGTAATGATCCTTTTTAAAACCCATGGGATAGACTTGATCTTTCTGCATGGATCCTGTCAAAGGAGACATAACTTGTATGTACATGGCAACTGGGTTGATGTTTCAGTGTGTTGTATCAGCCACAGCCACAGATACGAGATTTCTCATCGTTGGTCTTCTTTCTATAATTTTACATTTTTTCCAATCCTCGTGAACCATAAGTATAGTATCTCCTTTCCTTCAATCTTGTACAGGAATCTGTTGCTGAAGCCAAACGACAAGAACGTACAGACAAACTGAAAAGCCTAGTTCGTTTTAACAACTATCGATGTGACGCATGTCCTGTGTATGGGCAAGACTTGTTCCAGGCAGTGTCCATTCTGAATGACACTGTACCATGTAGGGTGATGGATACAACGTGGAGGAGTGCTGGATTGATTCATTGTTATAACGTACATAGCAATCCCAATGTTAACCATCCTCAAGTGTACTTCAGGCAGACCCAAACTTTACGAAACTTAATCAGAGTTCCTGAGCAGATAGTGGAAGATCTGAAAGAGATCATTGACAGGTATAGTTTGGTTTGTTATAATATTCAAAAGGGTGATTCATCCTATTACTGATAAGATTGAATTGTATGCGCTTGTCACTGTCTTTTTCATTCATTTTCATTTGTTCAGTACAAATAAATTATAGAAAAATGCACAATGTGTGAATTTGTTCCTAAATTATTGCATTCCTCAAGAGTTAGTCATCATATTTCACAACCACTTACGTTTGAAATTGATGCACTGTTTACATTGTCTTTTGCTGATTGGTTCAATTATCTGGTCTATAGGTATGCGTTCTGTGTTCCAACAACAGAGGCAAAGCCAGTGACAATGCATGCATCCCATGCGCCACCAAGTCTGCTGAAAAAGAATATGGAGATGAGGGAGATTTTACATAATCAGCTGATGCCAAAAACGCTTTTACTAAGTCCCTTTGAATCTGCGATGAAAATGCACTTCCCTGAAAGACGGCTTATACAGTATGACTGCGGTGAGTGCAAATTCAATTGACTTTCAATGAAATACTGTAAAATGCTTTTTTGATTCCTGTGTATGAAGCACACAATGAGTCTTTGCCGTTAGTGTGTCTGTATGTGCGTGTGATATCTAAAGCAAACACTTATTGGATTTGGATGAAACTTTGTAAGTGGATGCTCTGAACTGATGCCAGGTGTTGATTAGTTTTGGGTAAAAATCTGTGCATATGAATTACCTAATTTGCATAATTAGTAAATTTTCAGCTTTCCCACTGATATCTCAAGTACTAAACATCACATTTCAATGACACTCGGTACATAGATGTCATAGAACACTGCACAGACCTGATAGTTTTTTAATTCCTCTTACACCGCCGTGTGAAATTATGAAAGTTTTCATCACGGCAGTCGTCAAAGAGGGGAGAGTAATGATCCTTTTTTAAACCCATGGGATAGACTTGATCTTTCTGCATGGATCCTGTCAAAGGAGACAAATAGATTTGTGTTTACTTATTCATTTACTCAGTATTACTTTAGTGAAATGGAAAAAAAATATTACTACAAACTAAAATTAATGAGAACATTTATAATACGCAATTGCTGTTTTGGCACTGGGCAACCCTTGCCTTGCTAGTAACCCTTGCTCTGCATCAAGTTGGTTTAAAATTAGGGCCTTTGCATTAGCAGACAATTCTTATTCTAAACTAATCATACAAGTAGAATCGGTTAACACACTTGATTTAAGATATGGTTACTGACTAAATATGAATTGGTCTTGTGATACTTCGATCATCTCATCTTAGGAGACCATCTGTGGATAAAAAAGTACTCTTTACCAGGCCTTGACACGAGTCATATAGCCCGGGACAAAAACTATTTCCATTTGGACAAATTGAACAGTATAACACACTTGACCTAAGACTAGTAAATATCTGAGCAACATATACTTTGGATAAGTGAGTTAATGTCAAGCCCTGTGTACATGGCATTAAATGCCCCTACCAATTTCCCAGATTCAACTTCTTAAACTAATTCTTGTTCCTTTACAGGCAAGCTCCAGAGACTTGATCATTTACTTCGAGAGTTGAAGTATGGAAGTCACAGGGTGCTGATATTCACCCAGATGACTCGTATGCTTGATATTCTGGAGTGTTTTCTCAACTACCATGGTTATACTTATCTTAGATTAGACGGCACAACTAAGATTGAAATGAGACAGGTGAGTGGTTTGCTCAGTATGTTTTGTGTATTTACTTATTGGTCATATTTACCAAGACTAGTTAAAATCATCTATATTTTGATTAGTTGTGGAAGTGGCCATACATTAAAATCCATGTTTGAGTGGGAATTTCTGCTTGGAATTCATAAAACTCTCACAGGAGACATACTACATGAGCTTATTCAGTGTTAGTGTTGAACTATGTACCTCAAAATGGATTCCATGATTTGTTCATTTCATGATATCTTCAATTATCTTATTTTGATGAATAGTTTTGTCGTTTTTGATAAAATGTTGAATTTTCGTATTTGTTGAAACTGCAAGTCTGATTGATTTGGGATATTATACATATAGGTTCTACAGGTGGACTTCTTCCAGATTTATTAGTTTTGTGATATCTTCAATACTCAGTTGAAATGTGCATTGCTAACAGCAGAGCCATCTCAGCTTAGAGGCTGCTTGTTTCACTTCATGTCTAGGTTGATTCCACATTTCATACCCACTTGAATTCACTTTCAAATTTAAAATCAAATTACTTGTGTCAAAAAGTAATTGATACTGTTAAAACTGACGTCAGCAACTAAAAAGAAATGGGATATTGTAATAGTTGCGGCTAATTGGTGGAGTGGATTTCAGCAACAATATTTTTAATGAATTGTTAATATTTTTGCAGGCTTTAATGGAACGTTTCAATGCAGATAAAAGGGTCTTTGTATTTATACTATCAACACGTAGTGGTGGTGTTGGTGTGAATTTGACTGGTGCAGACACTGTCATCTTTTATGACAGTGACTGGAATCCTACCATGGATGCACAAGCTCAGGATCGATGTCATAGAATTGGACAAACAAGAGATGTACACATTTACAGGTATCCTATCTTGACAATATGCCGCCACAGCATAGTGGATAATTTGCGTATGAAGTTATTTTAGTAGCGTCCTCTTACACCGCCGTTCGAAATTATTAACGTTTTCATCACGGCAGTCGTCAAAGAGGAGATAGTAATGATCCTTTTTAAAACCCATGGGATAGACTTGATCTTTCTGCATGGATCCTGTCAAAGGAAACATTTTATAAGTTGCCATATATATGTATGATGTAATCCCTTGTTGAAAATACTGATAGTTTATGAATTTGATCTGCACAGATTAATTAGTGACAAGACAGTGGAGGAGAATATTCTGAAGAAGGCTAATCAGAAACGAATGTTGGTTGATGTTTCCATTGAAGGAGGTAACTTTACAACTGCCTTTTTCAAACAGGTACGCAAGTCAGTCTTCCATGTGTATTGTTTTCTGCTTATTTTGAACACCAATATTCAACTCCCATGTTATTTACCAAATCCATATCTTATTTTCTTGGAGTCGTTATGTTTGATGCTTAGCTCACAATGATCTTAGAGGGAGAACTAGGGATTAAAGTTGCGCCCATTATTAAGGCCAAAATTTATAAAATTGCCGTAGCACATGGCCAACAGCCCTTGACCAAAGCTTCTATTTCACCATGAATTCACTTAGATCACGGCTGAAAAAACACAAGAAAACAAAAGATTTTCATTGCAACAATTTATCAGATACCAAGTATCCATTGAGTTACTGAAACTACTGGCAGCACATGGGCCATCGTTGCAACATTTTGACAAAATGTAACATAATGTACTAAAATGTGATCATTTGATTGGCTAATACAAATCTTTTGTTCTTTTGTATGTAATTGTTGATATTGCTCAACAAGCAATTCTGTTTATTGGTATAACAGGAAAATGTATCAACTATATGAACCCTTTCTGTTTCTAGTCTAGTATTAGTGATCTGTTCAACATGTCGGCACAGGCACAGAAAGAAGAGAAAAAGGTTCTAATTGAGGAAATAAAGCCTGAACCAGTACAAGATCCGTTATCACAGACTGAACTAGAGCAGGTAGGTTTTATTTGAGAAACACTGTTCATTGCGTGATTATAATTCATTGACTGATCTCTGGGTGTTCAGTTTGTGGATTTTGTGCTCCACGCTAAATCAAAATGCAGTACATGTGTCGGAATTGCTTGCTTTTTGTGCAATGCAATCATGTATTATACTGCATACATTTCCATAGTTTCACAACTCGTACGTGAAAAGCGAAGCATCTTAATCACCTTCTTGTTCCACATAGATGTCTGTTTTGAGCTGAAAAACAGGTCATGGAAATCCTTCATTTCAATCTCTAGGCAAGAAGATTCTGTATCAATAGTGAGAAGTGTCTTGTAACGAGCAAAACAAGAGATGCGTCAAAAGTAAAGCGTTTCATGACAGCCAATGACAAATATTCTATTCACTGTTTTTTTTGTAGGCTTTGGCTAAAGCAGAGGATGAATTAGATGTGAAGGCAGCTACCATAGCCTGTGCAGAACAAGAAGCAGAGTTGGCCGAGTTTGATGAAAATATTCCAATAGATGGGGAAGATAGTCAACAACCATCTGAAGAAGTGTCCAAAGTGGAGGAAGAACTCTCTCAACTTGAAGATCAGGTTAGGGATTTTATTGTTGAATTGTGCATCTCAAAAAAATGATTTGAAGATTGAATTATTGGTAGGGGAGTTTTTGTTTTTGACTCCCATGTGCGAAGCACAAAATGGGAGTCTTTGCAGTTAGTGTGTCTGTATGTGTGTATGTGTGTATGTGTGTATGTGTGTGTGTATGTGTGTATGTGTGTCCGACTGTTCCACTGCTATCTCAAGAACCATACATCGGTTTTTGATGAAACTTGGTGCATAGATGCTCTGGGCCAATGCGCAGATTTGATTAGGTTTTGGTAAAAATCCATGCTCGTTAATTACCTAATTTGCATGATAATTAGCTAATTTTTAGCTGTTCTATGACTGTTCCACTGATATCTAAAGAACCACTCATTGGATTTTGATGAAACTTGGTGCATAGATGCTCTGAACATATGCGCAGATTTGATTAGGTTTTGGTAAAAATCCATGCTCGTTAATTACCTAATTTGCATGATAATTAGCTAATTTTTAGCTGTTCTATGACTGTTCCACTGATATCTAAAGAACCACTCATTGGATTTTGATGAAACTTGGTACATAGATGCTCTGAACATATGCGCAGATTTGATTAATTTTTGGTAAAAATTCGTGCATATTAATTACCTAATTTGCATGATAATTAGCTATTTTTTAGTGGTTCCATGACTGTTCCACTGATATCTAAAC